ATATATATATATATATATATATATATATATATATATATATATCTTACTAAGGTTGTATCTCTCTAAACCACTACGACAGTTCAAAGTAAACGTTATAACCTCAAGTACACGATGACCAAAAATGATATGGCTGATATTTGGTTCCGCAGAACTGAACAGCTGTTTTGACTCCAAGCAAGCACAGCTGAAATTTGATCTCTGATTCGAGAGCTCTGCCTTTCCAACTACTTCGGGGCATGGTGGTGACGATGGGAAGGAAAAAAAAAAAAGAAACTAATATTTTAAAAGTGAGTAGATAAAAATGTGATGACAACCCAAACCAGGAAGGAGAAACAATCTCCTCAGGCTTGTATAGATAATCTCTGACTCTTTCTGAGCATATGTGAGGTCACGGGACACCCGAGGGGCCGTATCTGGGGGACAGGACATCTATACACCACAAATAGGAAGAAGAAAGGTAAAGTGTCAAAGTAAGGCACTGGATTCAGGTGAGAAAGGGTCCATGACATCTGGGTAGCTTTGGGCAAGCCACATAGTCACCAGGAGCCTCATGGTTCATCATCATAAAGGGAGATACCAAGTTAAAAACAAGTCAACCCCAGAACACTGCTCTGAAGATCAGACATGACATATTTAAAATCTGTAGGATGCTCTCCCTAACATTTGGGCTTACTAATGCGGGAAGTACACAGCTCGACAAGAAGATCACCATGCTTGCTTCTACACCCGACAGACCCAGAAACCCAGGCTTATTTTCCAGCAGAGTTTATTCATGTGTGGGGAGGCCAGCCTGCAGGTTTCCTGCCTCCCCCATTTCAACTTACAGAGGAACTTGGAGGCAGAACTACATCCGTCAGCAAAAGAACAGAAGAATCTGAGAGAGGGTGGGACACATAACAAAAGCTAGTTTTATCTAAAATCAGGTTTTATCTGGCCAAAAAATTCACAACAAAAAAAATTTTTTTTGCACTAGAGTTGAGGATCATCTAAGGCAAGGTTTAGTGGACACTGTTGACTCCTCTGTATACTTTATTTTGAGGTAGCAAACAAGCAACTTGGGGGGTAGTCTTTATTTGTGTGTCTTGTTGTATTTGAAGACAAGGTCTCCCTATGTAGGCCAGGGTAGCCTTGAACTTTCAATCCCCAGCCTCCCTAGTGCTGAGGTTACAGGTGTTCACCATCATGTCAGGCTCGTTTCCTTTGGGGTCAAAATAGTGGGTTTTGTGTTTTGGAAATCCATGAAGGTTGCATGCTAACTACAGCTATTATTAACCGCTGCTGGCCTTTGGTGGTTCCATCTACAAACACTGCTGAGAAATAAGCACCGTTGTGAGTTAAGGAACACTGTCGTTTCTTTTATGGATACTTGCAAATGGCAGGGAAAATAGTCCAAGATACTCACGTTTTCCTTGACCTGTGTGAAGTAAAGCAAAACAAGACATAGCATATGAACATCTCTGAGCACTCAGTGTGACGCTGAACTCAGGCTTTGGGAAACAGCATGTAGGCTGCTGCAGAAAGGGGTGGGACAAAGGGCTCTCTAGCTCATCTTCTGGTCTCTTACTGTGTGCTGCCCAAGGGCGTCATGGGGATACATAAGGTCGCTACAGACTTTCATCCCCTTCCTTACTGACATATGGCTTTAAGCACACATTAATATTCTTTTAAAAAGTCCTTCTTTGGGGGACTGTGGGGCTGGGGGTTGTACCTGGGGCCTTGTGCATGTTAATGTCAAGCTCACACTCCACTACTAACCCACATTCCCAGCCCCTAAAGGTATTTTTTGTAAGGTGGAAATTTAAAAGAAAACAAAATAAAGGAACCTGATGAAGAGGGCTAGGAGCGCTCCAAGAATGCTGGAAGGAGGTAAACAAAACCAGCTCATTGGTAAACCGGCTGGTAGCACCCACTGAACCACCATTTCTCAGATATATATATATGAAATATATATATATAGGAAATATTCTTTACACACAGAGAAGGTTTTAGATGCATAAGGTCAAGAAGATATTTATGCATATAAGATATGGTAAAAAAAAAACAGATTAAGAAAGCTGGAATATCATACAGCAATTTCAAAAGCTTTCAGAAAGTGTTTGGAATAAATACATAATAAGTCACATTATAACAGTAGGCTAAAGCATTCTCCTGCCCAAAGGCTATCTACACTTACTGGCATAACACAAGTGTGCCTGTTTTCTTAAAGGCAGCTTTACTTTTACATAGGACAAATTGAGAGGCTGAATCCCAAAATGTTGAGTGGATCCTTGAACCATTGACAAGACTATGTGACTTTTAAAGCTACTGTTTTCTAATTTTCCTAAGTGAGTGTTTATTACTTTGACTTTTGGTAAAATCATTCTCTTTATTTCACATGCCTGAATTTTTATAGTGAAACATACATACAATTGATTTCTTTTTAAAGAAATCCTTCTGAGTGTGTGTGGATTGTAGCGCACTGGAACACTCTGGGCTAAGGCTTCTGCCGTGCTCAGGAACTTTCGTACACTGTAGACAACCCTTCTAGGGTCTGGGAAGCACAGCTTTTGCTCAGAGTAAGCGAGTTAATGGCT